TTTTCTCCAGTGACTGTGCAGGTGTGTCAGGTTAACCTCTGCTCGTTCAGACATTATAACAGGTGCCTGAAATCCCTTTATTGCTGTCTGTATATTATCGGAGTAAAACATTCTGTAATACACTTAATTCCTAAGACCTAAAATATCACCTAATCCTATTGATGACATTCTGTAATATGATCATTTTGCTGGCAACAAGAAAACTATTATAAGTAATTCAACCAGATGTCATTATGGTTTAATTTGATATCCCTAGTCAGGTAGTTTATTTAACCTAGTGCTTATAATAAAACAGTGTTATATCTAGTACTTGGTTTTACAAACGCTTTAAGATTATGTTAATAGTAAGAGGATAAAACTACTTTCACTATACTTTGCAGGTAACCTTTTTTTTTCTAGAATAGAAACTATAGCATATTTGTTCAGTCAGTTATATGAATCATACAAGTCTTTTTTTTTTATATATATAAAAAAAGTTGGTTGGTTTTACAGCTTTTTTTATCTGAATGTTTTTACATAATGCATTTTTATTTATGCTTTTTTTCTGTCTGAGATATTATTTCTGAGTTCATCTGTGTCTTACGGGCAGCATATTGCGTGCTGTTCTCCGCTTCTCTGTCGTTCGTGCAGGTTCCCTGGTCGAGGCGCGCATCCGGAGCCGCGCAGCAGTAGCGCAGCGAGCAGCTCCCGCAGCACACCGTCGCGTCCGCCGTATCAAAGTCCTCTGGGCACTATACGTGTTTGTTTTTTTGTTTGTTTTTTCCTTTCTCAAAAGACTGGTAAAAACACTGTCCTGTCTTGCAGTTCTCCCCAAAAAAGTTGTGGCTGCACAGAGACCAGCGCGTCTGCTCTGAAGCCACTTTTCAAATGTCCTGCTCTAAGTTTGTTTTAGACTCGCACCCGCTCCGTTTCAATGACGCGCACGCAGTTGGCTGGCCTGACGTGCGCATTCATGTAGCTGGGTCTGCGCCCTGTTGCCAGGGGAACGCAAGATGGACAATCAGAAAGAGCTGATTGTATTCTGTGTCCAACAACTTTAATAGAAAGATCAGTTTCTTTCTTTCTTTCTTTTTTTTATTGCTGCTGCTTTTTTAGCAGTTTCCTTATGGTTTACTTAGGTTATTTATATAGATAGATAGCATGGAGTCTTTCCAATAAAATTGGTTAATTTCATTGCATTTGGTCAGTTAATAAATTAATATTTATATTCGCAGAATTATCCTTGCCGTATTCATTCAGTCGTTTGGAAAGGGATGAGAAGGGTTTGCCTTTAAATTAGTGTCATGTTGTCGCCCTCTTCTGGACATTGTTGCTGGTACAACACTGGTGTGAAGGCTGCTTATAACTACTGATTCTGAAACGAATCAGCATGTTTTTGAAAATAATAGTCAGTGTTCTTCCACAGCAGATGCTTATTTCCTTCTGTGGGCTCAAATGGACATTATTTTTACACATAGCATTGCATATGTGACAGATATCTATGTATGTGACGCCATCAAATTAGGTTTAAAGACCTTCTGTTGACGGTGTATTTAATATTTCCCCTTTTCAACACTGCTTACATAATGCTAATATTCAGCAGTTAAGCTCTATATGAGGAAAGTAAAAGGAATAACGTGACATATTTTAGAGGGGGGAAAAAAGAGCAATTTTTGTATATATGAGCAATATCACACGAGGAGTGCGATACAGCTGTAGGACAAATAAATACAAAATTATGTCAAAATACTCGTTTTGGCAAGTATCCTCGAAAACAGTCAGTTATGTCTCAAGTGAATATGAACAATTGAGAAAAGAATTTAGATGTGCATCATTATATTGGATTTGTGCATTATGTCTTAAAGTGACCTCAGACTAATTTAACAGCTACTGTTTGTCTTTAAAGTCACCATGAAATAAAAATTGAAAAATCTTATTTTTTTAATGGAATATTGTAGTGTTTATTATAAATAATTTATCTGTGCGCTTCATTATTTTTTTTTAATTCATGTGCCCTCGTAATTTTTTATCAAAAACGTTAACCTCCCCTCCCCCTCAAAACGACTAATCTTCTCTTTTGGTCACGAGCTATGGCGCAAGGGCGGAGCTAGTGACGTGAGGGGTAAACGATGGGGGAAAGCTGAAGCTGATGCTTCACTTTATAGCACTGACACCAGTCATGAGTACGTTAACCCTAAACATTGAAAAGATATTAGGATATTACGACAACATTACTCTGCAAACTAATTTTTTTCATGAATATGACTTAACCTGATGGAGGACGCGCTCAGTCATTCAGGCAGTCTCTCTCTCTCTCGCACGCTGTTTAGGCATGTTTTGTGCTGTTGATCGTCGTCGTCATCCTTATTTATAGCTCGGACACCAGTCATGAGTACGTTAACCCTAAACATTGAAAAGATATTAGGATATTACGACAACATTACTCTGCAAACTAATTTTTTTCATGAATATGACTTAACCTGATGGAGGACGCGCTCAGTCATTCAGGCAGTCTCTCTCTCTCTCTCTCTCTCTCTCTCTCTCTCTAGCTGTTTATGTCATGTTTTGTACCGTTGATTGTCGACGTCATCCTTAATAAATAAAACATTTATTCATGCTTGGGTGTCGGCTGTGAATCCAGTGGAGAGAAATCCCCCACAACTAACTGCAAACTGGCATTCAGATGTGCTCCATTTTGTTAGCAACGCCCCAGCCTCCAACGATCCAATCAATTCCCGAAGGATGAAATCAAGTCCCGCCCTCTCATTTCAGATGCCGTTTCACTCGGATATACATCACATTAGAGAAGAAAAGACTATCGCAATTTCGGTTTCATGCCGACTTTAATGTTAATCCAACCAAAAAAGACAAAAAGAAAACTGCTCACTGCTTTTGACCAGAAGTATTTATATAGGTTAATAAACAACTTTGCTCTCAGACAAAAATATTTGCTCTGGAACAGATTAATGAGACCATTAGATACCCAAAATGAATTATATCTCATGTTTAACCACCATAGGGACATCAAAGCCAGCGGCAAACTGTAGAGAAGTAAGAACTGTCTGAGGTAACCCAGCAACCAATAGCCTTCATTTCAACGTCTCGGTTAACTATAGACCTGTTATAGTCCGGTTATGTGTAACCCACTTCTAGCCCAAATAACCTTGAATTTGGTTTCATGTTTTTTGGCAAAATAACTTGAGATGTATGATATTCCATCATGAAAGCAAAGTAAACAGCGTTTACAAGATGTTTGGTTTCATTTGTGCGTAGCCACGATTTAGCTCGTAGTCAGACCGGCTATTTGTAGCCCACTTTGTCAAACCTGATTCACTGTAGTTTTTGGCCAGACAGCGCATGAGATGGTTGATATCCCATCATGTTCGCAGTGTCAATAATATCTACAAAGATATAAGTGTCATTTCATGACATGGTCTATATGTAGCCACGATTTAGCTCTAAATTGGACGGGCTACGTGTAGTCTGCTTTTCGGCCACCTGGCGAAATCGAGGCAGGACTAATTTTAACGGCTTGGCTATAGCCCTATACCAGTAACCAGACCAGCGATCAGCATAGCCAAAATAGCCTTAAAATTGTTTACATATAATTTTCGCCC